TCCTCTTGGCCCGTTTAGGGATGGCTTCTTCTCTGCCGCGTTGTTTGCCTTTTTCGTCGTCGTCCTCGTCTTGTTTGCCTATTTGTTCGTGGTCCTCGGTCCCCTCGCGCTGTTTGGCTTGCCGTCTTCGTCCCCTACCGTTGCTTCATCGTGCTCTTCCTCATGGCCCCTCTGCGGGATTCGACGCCCTCTTCCTCGAGCATTGGTTTTGTCCTCGTGTTTCTCTGGGCGGGATGCGTCGCCTTAAATACGCACACTTTCTTTCTTTCTTTCTTTCTTTCTTTCTTTCTTTCTTTCTTTCTTTCCTTTCTTTCTTTCTTTCTTTCTTTCTTTCTTTCTTTCTTTCTTTCTTTCTTTCTTTCTTTCTCTCTCTCTATCTTTCTTTCTTTCTTTCTTTCTCTCTATCTTTCTTTCTTTCTTTCTTTCTTTCTTTCTTTCTTTCTTTCTTTCTTTCTTTCTTTCTTTCTTTCTTTCTCTCTTTCTCTCTTTCTCTCTTCCTTTCTTTCGTTTCCTCCCCCCCCCCCCCCTTTTTCCAACTACTTCCTGTTCTTCCTCTTCGCCCGTTTAGGGATGGCCTGGTCCTCTTCTCGGTCTTCAACTTTGCGGTGGTGGTCGTCTTCCAGGTTTAGGAGGGTTTCTGGGCTGTTTTGGGTTTTTGCCCTCGGCGGTGACCCTAAAACTCGGGTTCCCCTGTTTTTCGTGTTTCTTGGTTGGGGTTTTGCCCGCGGAGACCCAACGTGGGGCTTTCTGTTTCTTTTGGGTGCTTGCTCCGTTTGTTTTCTGTTGGGGTCTTCGTCCGTCTTTCGGGCGCTTCTTCTCCCCCCCCGGAAAAGTGTTTCTCGCCCCTCTTTGAGGGGCGTGTGTGTGCGGAGTGGCAGAATACCCTGCCACCATACAATCCAATTTTCACGACTGCAGGGGGTGCCAAAGCAGGCCCGAGAGTCGCCCACCAACGAAGACAACTCTCCGTGTCCCTGGTGAAGCAAGGATTGGAGAGTCCAGCTGTGTACCTCAAATGGTTGTGCAAATCATTTTTTGGCCCGTTGGTTTTCTCTCGCTGTGTGTGCTTCATGTTGAACCTTGTAACGTTTTCGCACAGAGGAAACCGAGTGCAATTGCGAGCCGAAACATATTCATGCAGAACCTTACCAAGCCGAGACTTACCCATTGTACTCGAAAAATAAAAAAAAAAAAAAAAAAAAAAAAAAAATATATTAGATCCCTCCATCTGGAGTCTAAGTGTGAACACCCCATTCGTGGGGGACCCTCGGGTGTACCCATCGTGTGACCCCGGGCCGGTTCGCCGGAAAATTTGACCTCAACGTGCTTATCATAGACCAGCGGAATTTCACGTTTACTGTGGGGGTACACGCCTTTGGAGGTCCTTTTGGCTTGGGTTCCTGACCTTGAAACCAGGCTCGGTCCAGGTGCCGTGCTGTTGCAGTCAATCTTGGGAAGCTACCTTCTTGAGACGCGCTTCGGCCCACAGGGCAGGCTTGGCTCAGAGGTGTGCGCTGCACAAAGCCTTGCGATCTGTAACGGTTGTGCGCCATGGCTGATGCAGCAGCGCCAGATCCCGCAGCACGTCGTGAGGACGGTCCGGAAGATGCGCTTGAAGGATTGAAGGCGGAGCGGAAAACGTTGAAGCAGCAGTTGAAGCAGGCGACGAAGGAGATCCGCACACAGGCACCATGGTTTTTCGAGGTTTGGGGGCCCGGCTGGTCAAACTCGAAGTGTTTGTTTGGAAGCAGGAATGTTTCAGATTTTTTGCAGCAAGTCTTGCCCGGGATCTTCTTTTGCTAGTTTGATTAAAGCAAACCGGCTGCCAGGAAAAAAAGCGACGGCGCCTGATGCAAAAAGCCGGAAAGTTATCAGTGAGCGACCTCACTTGGCTGATGACCCGCAAGGTGCACCAGCAAGGGGGCGCTGTTTGAAGCAACTTGTTTCGCCACAAGGCGGACGCAGAGCTCGCTCACGCGAGAGCTTTCACTCAGAATCACGTTTGTGCGACTTTGCTTGGCTGTGTGCGCCGCAGGGCGGACGCAGGGCACGGGCTCGCTGAATGTCAGTGCTTTCACCCATGCTCACTTGTAACCTTGCTTGGCTGTGTGCGCCTAGAGGCCTTCGTGTCAGACTGCTGCAGCGGATGGACTTGGCGCGGAAAAGCCGAGCCTGCTGTGCTTACCGATCCACCACAACTGATGGATGTGGGAAGACACGACATGCATGTCGCCATTGCTGCGATTGCGTTGTGTGCTGTTTTTTTCGCAGCGTTATTACGCGGTCCATGTGAGCAGTGGATAAAACTACCCTTTGTTGGGGTTTACGAATTCGCCAGGTTCTTTTGTCAGTCCCCCCGAACGATTCCTCGCGGTAGTTTTGTCCGCTGCTCACGCGGCTGCAGCCTCAGGATTTGTTTGAGGACCATGTCGCATTGGGGGGGATGGGCTTTCCGAGTCTGGCTCCTGGCAGGGCCTGAATGTTTTGATACATGGTTTGCTTTGTGCGGTCGCAATTGGGCGTCGATTGCCTGCAGTGACGGGAACTGTAGGCCTTGTTCCAAAGAAGGACGCTAGTCAGGGATGAAGATGTTTGCTGATTTTGTAGTTTGTGCACGCCGTTTGGGCGTCGATTGCGCGCAGTTTCAGCGACAGCAAGCCTTTATTCTTAGCAGGGAGCCAATGAGGGATAAGCAGTTTGTGATTCACATCGGTATTTTTGACGCACGGCCGCCGTTTGCTGGACGCCATTGGAGCTTCGATTGTTTGCAGTGTCGGCAAGTGTGATGAAGTTCCATGTTTGCAGAAACGCCCACCCAAGAGCAAGTGACATCAGGTAGCAGACCCGCAATCCGTTTTAGCCCTTCAGGAACCCTCAACATTTGAGTCATGACCCTAACCTGCACCATCCCTGACTTTTCACATCTGGACGCCCTGACTCGTGGGAGGAAGCTGCAACTTCCCTGAATGTTGACATGTTGACAATCCATGGGTCCCTTTCCGAAGGTTTGGCTCGCCCTGTGCAGGCTGCTTTCCCTAGGTTCCAGCTTCCAAATCCCATTTTTTCACATGTGGACGCCCTTTGGCGCAACTTTCCCTGTGGGTTTTGTACATTTATGGACGCCCACGTGGGCACATTACCTCATGGTTTACATATGTGGACGTTGGGCCCCGTTTGGGCTATTTCTGCAGTAACGACCCTGATTGCAAGCTTTCAAACCCCTGTTTTTTGCACGTGGACGCCGTTTGGGCGCAACTTTCCCTGGGGTTTTGTACATTTATGGACGCCCACGTGGGCACGGTACCTCATGGTTTACATATGTGGACGTTGGACCCCGTTTGGCTTTTTTCCCTTATGGCAAGCTTCCAAATCCCTGTTTTTTACATGTGGACGCCGTGTGGGCGCAACTTTCCCTGGGGATTTGTACATCTGTGCACGCCCACGTGGGCACATCACCTCAGGGTTTACATATGTGGACGTTGGACCCCGTTTGGGCTTTTTCTGCAGTAGCGACCCGGATCCGTAAAAACAAGCTTCCAAATCCCTGTTTTTTTACATGTGGACGCCGTGTGGGCGCAACTTTCCCTGGGGATTTGTACATTTGTGGACGCCCGCGTGGTCACTTTACCTCATGTTTTACCATGTGGACGCTGGACCCCGTTTGGGCTTTACAATGTTATTAGGAACGGGAGGGGAGGTCGGAGCAACAGGCGGGGGGAAGTGTCACAAGCGACCCGGAGGGACCTGACTCATTTTTTTAGCATTGTACTCCCGGCATGCTCGTAGATGGTGTGGAGCTGCGTTGTTGCGTGGCTCACTGCGCTTCTTTTTGTTTGGAGAGTGCAGGGGTTGTGACTGACAAAGGATATTTGCTCAGTTCCAGGCAGCATGTTCTGTCAACTTTCCCAAAGACTGATTCGACCTTTGTTTGCACCCTTTGTTGCCATCGTCAAAGACTGATTCGTTTTTTTTTGCACCTTTGGTTGCCATCATGCATTGCCATGGCTCGAGAGACGACAAAGCGGAAGCGGCAAGCATCTGGACAGCTTCGAGGCTTGCTTGATGAGGTGGCCGTAGAGGCTCCACGTGTGCAGGGATACGAGTTTCGATCGGACGAGTTCACTGCGTTGACAGACCAGCTTCGGAGCAAGGACCTGTCCCCAGCGCAGTCGCAAAGGCTAGACGCTGCTGTCCAGCTGTATGGTGGTTCCCGGGCTCGCAAGTGTGATTTCTCCTTGGGGGCATTTTTTAGCCCTTGAGGGCTACTTCCGACAAAAGCCAGCACGTTTAGTGATTTCTACCATGCCACACCAGGTCAAGCGCCCCTGCCTGTTCGTCAAGTGCCAGCAGAGGCGAGCCAAGCGGCCAGTTCACCAGCTGCAGCGCCAGCGCCTGCGACCGCCAAGGCTTCGCTTGTGCGCGAGCGATTTCCGTGCCCTTCTGTGCCCGTTATAGACATACTTATAAGTCAAGTTAGTGTCAACCTCGGCTGTTGTATTTCCCGATTTAGGACTTGCTTTGCAGGCGCCGTTCCGTTTGCGAGCGGCTGCAGCGCTGTTGACTTATAATGCTTCCCATTTCACAGATGCAGATTTTGAGCCTTTCGTGGACTTCATCCAGACAGTCGAAAGCATTTCCCGCTGGACCGCAACTTTGGAACGGTCCGAGCATGCTCAAAACATGGACCGCTTGCATTTGCATGTCTACATTGAATTTCACAAGGCGCCCGACTGGACGTCGCTGCGTCCCTTGGCGTGGCGTCAGGTCCTCCCGAACTGTTCTCCTTGCAGAGCGCGTGGCGCCAAGTGGCGGGAGTCAGTAGACCAAGGCCATTTTTATTGCTGGGCCGCCAAAGCACCTAGGCTGCCATCACTTGTCGGGAAATCCTTGCGTAGGAGGAGGCGAACATAACTCAGGTAGACACCTCTTTTGCTCTTTTCGGGCCACTGTTGCCAGGCCTTCTTGCAAGCGCTGCCTGTTTGTGTCTGCATTCAGCTCAGGTTGGCTCACTGAGAGTCCAAACAAGCGGGCACGAGCCGTGGGTGCACTACACAGTGCGCGGTGCCTGGTTGGACTCTCTCTGGTCCTCGCAGAAATTGACACACGATATTTACCTGGAATACGCGCCGCCTGGCTGCCGAGTAAGCTTTCAGTTGAGAAGCTGCAGGGTTTGAAGTGCAGACAGCTCTTTTTCTTGCAAAGTGCTGGAAATTTCTTGACCACGCTGCCCGCAGCGCGAGGTGCAAGGTTCGCGTCGGTTTTGTCGGCCGGCTGAAGCAAGTCGAAGCAGTGCAGCTGCGCGAGCAGCAGCAAGCCTTTCAAGGGGAGAAAGCAGCCGCGGACGCGGTTCTGGAAACCTTGAAACGTCCCTTCAAGCAGCATGTGCTGGAGTTGGTCCGGGAATGGGCCAGTCAGTATTCTATGCCCTTGCTCCGTTATAAATTTCTAGTGCTGCGAGCCGGGTCCCGCTGTGGCAAGAGCACTCTTGCGAAGTCGTTGCATCAAGAGCTGGCCTGGCTCAAGCCACCTTACATACAGACTGTGCAAGATGATGTATCGGCCGATCTTCGCGGCTTCAATCGTCGCAAACACGGATTCTTGGTCTTCGACAACATCAACAATATGTCTTTCATACTCTCCCAACGTGCCCTTTTTCAATCGAACGGCGACGTGCACACCCTTGGACAGAGCAAAACTGGAGTGTATAGCTACGATGTCTATCTTTACAGAATTCCAATTGTCTTCACCGTTGATCACACTGCTACATGGGATAGCTTGGAGCCCTGGATGGCAGAAAACATGGTCTTGATCGAGCTGAGCGAGCCTTGCTTTGTGGAGGTGTGATGTTGGACAGCTGCAAGAGGGGCGGCGGTGGATAAGTTTGCGCAGTCCATTTCTTCTTGTGCCCAGGAATGGTCTTGTGTGTAGGAGCCCTTGCACTTTCCAGCTCCCCGGCTAGCCTTCTGCGGGCCAGAAAAGTGAGCCGCGAATATGCGCAAAACCAACCCTCAATAGCACAGGCCCCCTTTGTGAAACCTTTCTTGCCGCGCTATTATGTTGCTCACATGTACCTGGAGAGGCTTGCCGCCCTGGTGCGGGAAATGTTGTCGCCCGACTCTTCGGCCGAGAGAGAGTAGCGTTTGTGTCTGTGTGTGTGTGCGTGTGCATCTTTTGCATCCGTGCGCTTCTGCAGAACCCAGTCTGTAACCGCCCTTAAGAGCTTCCATGTGTCAGCGAAGCACGTGCTCGCATGCTTTTGAGCACCGATGAGCTTGAAAGTTGCTTTGACCTTTACTGCCCGCAAAGTTGTTGTTCTGCGTGTGGCATAGCCTACGGCCCTGAGGATGTGCAGTAGCGCAACCCCTGCCTTTTGCGACCAAGGGTCGCCGCCCGCTAGAGCTTGTCATGGACCAGCCTGACTTTGATGCGGCAGCAGCTCGGCTGGCAGTGCAGACGCTGCAAGCTCAGCTCACTGCGAACAGAAACGCTGCGAAGGCACTTTACCGGCAACAAAGCAGAAGGCACGAGCGTGCTGGACGTGGTGGCCTTGGACCTGCTGGGCAGAAAGCCACCCTTGCCGTGTACCTGTTGTCGGGACACAACATAGAGTTGGCCACAGTCATGGCACAACGCCTCTCCTCCTTCAAACATGCTCAGACGCCGGGATATCCAAGTGCTGCCACAGTCGAGAGCCTTTTTTTGGCGGCCCCAATGAGCGAAATTTGCCAAGCTCATGCTCCTGAGACTCCAGCATGGGTCACAGCCACGCAGCAAGCACAAGCGTTTCTAGCAGAAAACTCTACAGTGCAGTGGGTGGAGACAATGAATGTCGGTCACGGTGTGACACCGTCTTCCGTGGATGTCTTCCTGCAGTGCGAGGGAGCCTTGCTTGGTCATCAGCCAGATCTGGGAGCGCCTTCCAAGAGAACTGTGAACAAATGGGCTGCCAGGTGGCGCCTGCGCTGGGGCGTGCGCCGAAAGACTTTACAGCCAGAAGGCTACATCGAGCCGGAAGAGCTGCGAACCAAGGCGCGAAAAGCAAGGGCCCTTTTTTGGGCACGAAAAATGGCCCCGGAAACCTGCCCAGCTAATGGCCTTTGTTACGAAGCTGACCCCAAAAGCGGTCAGGTTTTAGGGCCTTCTTTCCGGGAGGTGCGCTTGGGTTTGTTCTGGGAGAATCCAGCCTTGATTTCTGCTGCAGGTCCGTGCTTTCTGGCACACACTAGCCCACGTTTCGGCCAAGTACAGCCACAAGCAGATTGTGTTCCTTAATCTGGACGAAACCTCGGTAGGGTTCAACATGACTCCGCTTGCTGGCTGTGTTGCAGCAGCGTGCGTGCAGCGCGGCCTGCGGCTGCGTGCGAAAGTGAAGAAGGAGAACTTGCGCGGCGCGATGTCCTACGTGGCATTGATTTGTGACTCAGCCGAGCTGCAAGGCAAGCTGCCACACTACTTGATTGGAAGCACCGTGAGGCTGACCAAGACAATCATGAAGGGCATTGCTGCACTGCCGGCGACGCAGCTTCGCATCCTTCGCCGGAAATCAGCTTGGAACACTTCAGAAGTCATGGTTGCCATTATCAAGGACGTCTCTAAAACGCTGCAGCCTGTGCTTGACGCAGGCAATGTGCAGCCAGTGCTGCTCTTGGATTGTGCTCCGGCCCACCTTCCACTGCCTGTGATGCAGGCAGCATCAGACTGCGGGATCCAGCTGCTGTTCATTCCATCCTCGTGCACTCACATTGCCCAACCGCTGGACATTCGAGCCTTCGCAGGTTTCAAGATGTATTTGAAAAAGGTTCATCGAGAGCTTCGCGCTGCATCCGCAGAGGGGCTGATAAGCCCGCTAGCTTGGATTTGGCATTTAACGCAGGCGCCTCGGCAGTTCTTCGCAGCTAAGAAGTGGAAGCCGTCTTTCGAGGCTGTGGGCGCTGGAGGGCCAACAGACTTGTCACGTTTGCACAAAGACTTAAAGCAACTCATGGGAAACCCCACGAGTTTGCCAGCCGGCAGTAAGCCGACGCCGGCCGATCTTGCTTGCATTTGGCCGAAGCGCCGCCGCATGGCGTACGCTTGCAAGGCTCTTTTCTGACAGCAGCAAAAGCTGACGCGGGGCGCGAGTGCAGCTCTTGTGAACCGGCTTGAGAGTCACTGTGGGGGTACACGCCTTTGGAGGTCCTTTTGGCTTGGGTTCCTGACCTTGAAACCAGGCTCGGTCCAGGTGCCGTGCTGTTGCAGTCAATCTTGGGAAGCTACCTTCTTGAGACGCGCTTCGGCCCACAGGGCAGGCTTGGCTCAGAGGTGTGCGCTGCACAAAGCCTTGCGATCTGTAACGGTTGTGCGCCATGGCTGATGCAGCAGCGCCAGATCCCGCAGCACGTCGTGAGGACGGTCCGGAAGATGCGCTTGAAGGATTGAAGGCGGAGCGGAAAACGTTGAAGCAGCAGTTGAAGCAGGCGACGAAGGAGATCCGCACACAGGCACCATGGTTTTTCGAGGTTTGGGGGCCCGGCTGGTCAAACTCGAAGTGTTTGTTTGGAAGCAGGAATGTTTCAGATTTTTTGCAGCAAGTCTTGCCCGGGATCTTCTTTTGCTAGTTTGATTAAAGCAAACCGGCTGCCAGGAAAAAAAGCGACGGCGCCTGATGCAAAAAGCCGGAAAGTTATCAGTGAGCGACCTCACTTGGCTGATGACCCGCAAGGTGCACCAGCAAGGGGGCGCTGTTTGAAGCATCTTGTTTCGCCGCAAGGCGGACGCAGAGCTCGCTCACGCGAGAGCTTTCACTCAGAATCACGTTTGTGCGACTTTGCTTGGCTGTGTGCGCCGCAGGGCGGACGCAGGGCACGGGCTCGCTGAATGTCAGTGCTTTCACCCATGCTCACTTGTAACCTTGCTTGGCTGTGTGCGCCTAGAGGCCTTCGTGTCAGACTGCTGCAGCGGATGGACTTGGCGCGGAAAAGCCGAGCCTGCTGTGCTTACCGATCCACCACAACTGATGGATGTGGGAAGACACGACATGCATGTCGCCATTGCTGCGATTGCGTTGTGTGCTGTTTTTTTCGCAGCGTTATTACGCGGTCCATGTGAGCAGTGGATAAAACTACCGTCGGATCCTTTGTTTGGGTTTACGAATTCGCCAGGTTCTTTTGTCAGTCCCCCCGAACGATTCCTCGCGGTAGTTTTGTCCGCTGCTCACGCGGCTGCAGCCTCAGGATTTGTTTGAGGACCATGTCGCATTGGGGGGGATGGGCTTTCCGAGTCTGGCTCCTGGCAGGGCCTGAATGTTTTGATACATGGTTTGCTTTGTGCGGTCGCAATTGGGCGTCGATTGCCTGCAGTGACGGGAACTGTAGGCCTTGTTCCAAAGAAGGACGCTAGTCAGGGATGAAGATGTTTGCTGATTTTGTAGTTTGTGAACGCCGTTTGGGCGTCGATTGCGCGCAGTTTCAGCGACAGCAAGCCTTTATTCTTAGCAGGGAGCCAATGAGGGATAAGCAGTTTGTGATTCACATCGGTATTTTTGACGCACGGCCGCCGTTTGCTGGACGCCATTGGAGCTTCGATTGTTTGCAGTGTCGGCAAGTGTGATGAAGTTCCATGTTTGCAGAAACGCCCACCCAAGAGCAAGTGACATCAGGTAGCAGACCCGCAATCTGTTTTAGCCCTTCAGGAACCCTCAACATTTGAGTCATGACCCTAACCTGCACCATCCCTGACTTTTCACATCTGGACGCCCTGACTCGTGGGAGGAAGCTGCAACTTCCCTGAATGTTGACATGTTGACAATCCATGGGTCCCTTTCCGAAGGTTTGGCTCGCCCTGTGCAGGCTGCTTTCCCTAGGTTCCAGCTTCCAAATCCCTTTTTTTCACATGTGGACGCCCTTTGGCGCAACTTTCCCTGTGGGTTTTGTACATTTATGGACGCCCACGTGGGCACATTACCTCATGGTTTACATATGTGGACGTTGGGCCCCGTTTGGGCTATTTCTGCAGTAACGACCCTGATTGCAAGCTTTCAAACCCCTGTTTTTTACACGTGGACGCCGTTTGGGCGCAACTTTCCCTGGGGTTTTGTACATTTATGGACGCCCACGTGGGCACGGTACCTCATGGTTTACATATGTGGACGTTGGACCCCGTTTGGCTTTTTTCCCTTATGGCAAGCTTCCAAATCCCTGTTTTTTACATGTGGACGCCGTGTGGGCGCAACTTTCCCTGGGGATTTGTACATCTGTGCACGCCCACGTGGGCACATCACCTCATGGTTTACATATGTGGACGTTGGACCCCGTTTGGGCTTTTTCTGCAGTAGCGACCCGGATCCGTAAAGACAAGCTTCCAAATCCCTGTTTTTTTACATGTGGACGCCGTGTGGGCGCAACTTTCCCTGGGGATTTGTACATTTGTGGACGCCCGCGTGGTCACTTTACCTCATGTTTTACCATGTGGACGCTGGACCCCGTTTGGGCTTTACAATGTTATTAGGAACGGGAGGGGAGGTCGGAGCAACAGGCGGGGGGAAGTGTCACAAGCGACCCGGAGGGACCTGACTCATTTTTTTAGCATTGTACTCCCGGCATGCTCGTAGATGGTGTGGAGCTGCGTTGTTGCGTGGCTCACTGCGCTTCTTTTTGTTTGGAGAGTGCAGGGGTTGTGACTGACAAAGGATATTTGCTCAGTTCCAGGCAGCATGTTCTGTCAACTTTCCCAAAGACTGATTCGACCTTTGTTTGCACCCTTTGTTGCCATCGTCAAAGACTGATTCGTTTTTTTTTTGCACCTTTGGTTGCCATCATGCATTGCCATGGCTCGAGAGACGACAAAGCGGAAGCGGCAAGCATCTGGACAGCTTCGAGGCTTGCTTGATGAGGTGGCCGTAGAGGCCCCACGTGTGCAGGGATACGAGTTTCGATCGGACGAGTTCACTGCGTTGACAGACCAGCTTCGGAGCAAGGACCTGTCCCCAGCGCAGTCGCAAAGGCTAGACGCTGCTGTCCAGCTGTATGGTGGTTCCCGGGCTCGCAAGTGTGATTTCTCCTTGGGGGCATTTTTTAGCCCTTGAGGGCTACTTCCGACAAAAGCCAGCACGTTTAGTGATTTCTACCATGCCACACCAGGTCAAGCGCCCCTGCCTGTTCGTCAAGTGCCAGCAGAGGCGAGCCAAGCGGCCAGTTCACCAGCTGCAGCGCCAGCGCCTGCGACCGCCAAGGCTTCGCTTGTGCGCGAGCGATTTCCGTGCCCTTCTGTGCCCGTTATAGACATAAGTCAAGTTAGTGTCAACCTCGGCTGTTGTATTTCCCGATTTAGGACTTGCTTTGCAGGCGCCGTTCCGTTTGCGAGCGGCTGCAGCGCTGTTGACTTATAATGCTTCCCATTTCACAGACGCAGATTTTGAGCCTTTCGTGGACTTCATCCAGACAGTCGAAAGCATTTCCCGCTGGACCGCAACTTTGGAACGGTCCGAGCATGCTCAAAACATGGACCGCTTGCATTTGCATGTCTACATTGAATTTCACAAGGCGCCCGACTGGACGTCGCTGCGTCCCTTGGCGTGGCGTCAGGTCCTCCCGAACTGTTCTCCTTGCAGAGCGCGTGGCGCCAAGTGGCGGGAGTCAGTAGACCAAGGCCATTTTTATTGCTGGGCCGCCAAAGCACCTAGGCTGCCATCACTTGTCGGGAAATCCTTGCGTAGGAGGAGGCGAACATAACTCAGGTAGACACCTCTTTTGCTCTTTTCGGGCCACTGTTGCCAGGCCTTCTTGCAAGCGCTGCCTGCTTGTGTCTGCATTCAGCTCAGGTTGGCTCACTGAGAGTCCAAACAAGCGGGCACGAGCCGTGGGTGCACTACACAGTGCGCGGTGCCTGGTTGGACTCTCTCTGGTCCTCGCAGAAATTGACACACGATATTTACCTGGAATACGCGCCGCCTGGCTGCCGAGTAAGCTTTCAGTTGAGAAGCTGCAGGGTTTGAAGTGCAGACAGCTCTTTTTCTTGCAAAGTGCTGGAAATTTCTTGACCACGCTGCCCGCAGCGCGAGGTGCAAGGTTCGCGTCGGTTTTGTCGGCCGGCTGAAGCAAGTCGAAGCAGTGCAGCTGCGCGAGCAGCAGCAAGCCTTTCAAGGGGAGAAAGCAGCCGCGGACGCGGTTCTGGAAACCTTGAAACGTCCCTTCAAGCAGCATGTGCTGGAGTTGGTCCGGGAATGGGCCAGTCAGTATTCTATGCCCTTGCTCCGTTATAAATTTCTAGTGCTGCGAGCCGGGTCCCGCTGTGGCAAGAGCACTCTTGCGAAGTCGTTGCATCAAGAGCTGGCCTGGCTCAAGCCACCTTACATACAGTCTGTGCAAGATGATGTATCGGCCGATCTTCGCGGCTTCAATCGTCGCAAACACGGATTCTTGGTCTTCGACAACATCAACAATATGTCTTTCATACTCTCCCAACGTGCCCTTTTTCAATCGAACGGCGACGTGCACACCCTTGGACAGAGCAAAACTGGAGTGTATAGCTACGATGTCTATCTTTACAGAATTCCAATTGTCTTCACCGTTGATCACACTGCTACATGGGATAGCTTGGAGCCCTGGATGGCAGAAAACATGGTCTTGATCGAGCTGAGCGAGCCTTGCTTTGTGGAGGTGTGATGTTGGACAGCTGCAAGAGGGGCGGCGGTGGATAAGTTTGCGCAGTCCATTTCTTCTTGTGCCCAGGAATGGTCTTGTGTGTAGGAGCCCTTGCACTTTCCAGCTCCCCGGCTAGCCTTCTGCGGGCCAGAAAAGTGAGCCGCGAATATGCGCAAAACCAACCCTCAATAGCACAGGCCCCCTTTGTATTTATTAAATTTGTATTTGAAGAAATATTATTAAAATTAGTATTTGAAGTTATTGTCAGATTACCTATTAAAAAAGAATTTGAACTAATATTATTTGATAATACATCAATTTCTGTTTTGTCATATGTTTCAGTTATATCATAAAAATTAGCATTTATCTGCTCCTTTGTATAGGTGTCTGCTTGGTCTGCTTTACTATCTAATACTGTTTGAATGTCAGATTTACTCGCGTAAAGATCTTCTATATCATTGACAGCTCCATCTTTTACTTGTCTAATTCTATTTGCTGTAATATCAAAGGTATTGATTAAGTTTTTGCTCATAATATTATATTATTAATTAGAAAATTAATAATATCATATTTTCTTTTTAATCATAAAATGTTACAGAATTTGAACGGATTTCAAGAATGCACTCATGAACCAAGAGCATATAAATTCTCTCGGCCATTTTACCAGGAGCGCTATATAATGTTGAACCCTCCAACGCTTTCACTTTAACAACCATATTTGAATCACTTTCTAATTTCTGCAAATTAAACCCATACATAAAAGCGTGAGACCTGTAATCTTCTGCACTAACTAACATTGGTTTATCAGCACAATGCATAAGATGGGCATATGCCTCACGAACACCTTGAATTTTCTTGACTTGGAATAACTTGATTACCGATTATCAAAGAAGCAGATAAATCATGCTCTGGGTCATAACGTCCTTTATCACCTGTTACATGTGCCAGTGGATGATACATAAAGTTATATGGTTTCAATAATTCACCGTATCCGCCCACATAACCCTTTTGAGTCGCATTTGAAAAAGAAATAAACAGTTTATTTAATTTAGACACATTACGGACAATAGTTGTGAATATTTCAGTTGTTGTTGATGCTGTTTGTTCTTGTAGGGTTTCAGTTTCAAGAGTAATAGGAAGAGAACCAGTTTCTAATATTTTAGCATACTCTGCATATAAGCTATCGTCAAGAGTATAGACATTTCCTTTGAATAAAGGTTTTGTGACTGACCAAGTGATACTTGTATTTGCATCAGTAAAAAGTCCTGTTCTATTAACAATTGGTTTTAATACATCAGTTGTTAAATATAATTCAACTGTTATTGGACAATAAGATAAAGGTATCCAGTTTTCACAAGTCTTGAAACATTTTAAATTTAAATCAAAATAGACATTAGCACTTTTACCTTCTTTAATTCCTTTATAATTACCATTGGTTACATTTCTAGTTACTGCTTGAGTAGTAGAAGTTCCAGTAGCATCACAAACTAAAAACCGTCCATCGTGATTGAGTAGAGTATTTCCAAAACCCAATGCTTCATCAATTCGTTTTTCTTCTGATGATTTTAATACATCTTTCATTGCACTCGCGCGAGAAAGAGAATTTAAATCACATACAATGACATCACCCATTAACACACGCACCCTATCAAAAAATCCGGCTGTGTCAATTGGTCTAAGTTCGAGATTTGCTGTGTTATCAGTGTTGTTTAGAGTAAATCCTAATAATAGTGAAGGTAAGGACAACCATTGATTAGGTGGTCCAGTAATGTTAAATCTAATTACTGAATTTGTATCAGCGGTATAAGTAGAAACCGATGAAGGATAAAAGTTTTTACTTTCTTTTGACCGGACATAAGAACCGCCATCTTTTAATTTAAATTTAAATCTTAAATTCTTTTCAACAAGGACATCTTCAATATCTAGTGTTTCCATAACTTATACATTTAATAATAGAAAAATATTATATTATTCTATTATTAAATTATTTTATTTTAAAGTGTGAATAATCTATAACTTCTTTTTTAGATTTTTTATTTAATAGTTTTTAAGATTTATTTTTAATATTATTATGTTCAACCTTATAGTTAGGTTCATCCTCTACTATTTTCTTAATGTCATCATAACTGACTTTCTTTTTAGGATTTATAGTATTTTTTATATCATTATTAGGCATTATATATAAGACTACAAAATTTCCTTTACAGGTTCAATGCTTCTTGATACGTCCTTGCCAGTATCACCATATAATGAGTGTTGATGATTTGTTAATGGGGTAAAACCTCCTCTATTTGATGTTATACTGCCTCTATCTAAAATACTGACTATATCACCAAAATTTCTTAGGCTTGTGTAGTTGTCATTATTTTTGTTTGACATTGAAACAAAAGGAGCGCCGTAAGTTGTCAAATGTTTAATATTATTATTAGGAATATTTTTTTATATATTCTGAACTTATTGAACTGCCTAAACTGTGAGAAATAACAGTATCTATATTTATATTATTATCCAACACTTCTGATACATCTCTATAACGTTCTGAATATCTTGTAAGGTTTAGTGGTAATCCTATATCGCTTAAAATATCATTAATATTTGATTTAATATTAGACTTACCAAATGTCCCAGCAACATATAATTTATTGCCATCAATAAAGAAACCTTTACCATTTGTATATGCTTTGTTTAAATTATTATTATATTTAGGTTTGAATAATGATTTTTCTTGTTGAATTTCATTAATGATTTTTCTATACATTTCGCTATGACCTTGATGAAGCGGATTGTATGATTTTAATTTTCCTTCTTTTAAATAATATTTATATTTTTTCATATATAATTAAATTATAAAATTTCTAAATAATAAATATAATGAGATTTCGTAAAATATATATCAACAGTGCTTATCGTGATTTAAATGACAGTCAATCTACATCAGATTTTGTTATTAATTTAAGAGAGCAACAAGAATGCGGACCAAATACTAAAATGATTTGTCACGAAGAATCTATCGCTAATTCATTTTATCCAATTGAAGATAATTTAAATAACAGATTATATTTAACATTAGGAGGGATATTAATAGGAGCACCAGTATATTATTTTATTGTAGCACCTGATAAAGGTAGTTATGTAGGTAGTGAATTAGCAACCGAATTACAAAATAAATTGAATACTGCTACTAATGGAACTGATGGAAATAGTGACTTTTTTACTTGTAGCTATTCATTAAAAACTAATACTATAACTATAAGTTGTAATTATATTTCTTATTTTTTTATAATCCATACAGATAAAGAATTAAAAACAAATTACAGTTTTGGTATTGATTATGATAGAGATTATCTTAATAGTATTAATGACATTTTAGGAAATACTACCGAAAAAGTAAATATTACTGCAGACCCGTTTGTTAGTGGATTTATATCATTTTTACCTGTTAAAAATATTTATATTCATTGTAATGAATTAAGTAACGGAAACCAGTTATGTAGTTTTGGCACTTCATCAATAATAAAGAAAGTACCAGTTTTAACATCATTCGGCAACCTCATATATGATAATGAACTAATTTTAAATGATGCTAATGATATTAGTATGCGTTCGTTGAATAGACTTCATTTTAGATTTACTGATGCGTCGGGTAGAGTTTTAAAATATGAATGGAACAACAAGTAGTTTTAGTTTAACATTTTTTGAAGGTTAGAACAGCATATATTAAATATTTTAATATAAAATTTGTTATATACTAATTATATTAAAATATTTTAATATATATATTTATTATATACTAATTATATGGTTAAAAATATTGAAATAGTAGATGTAGGCAGTGAAAATAATGAAGCACCTAAAGAAGTAGAAGAAATTAAAGAAGAACCTATTATTAAGGAAGAAAGTAAAGAAGTAGAAACTAATAATATTATAAATGAAGAAAATAATAAAGTAGAAGAAGAACACGAACCAAAACAAGAATTAAAATCTAAAACATACTCAACTGAAAAAGTGGAATGTCCAAAATGTAAAAAAATATTTAACAAAATACACTTTCAGATATCGTCATAACTGTAATGGAATACCAGTTAAAAAAGAACCAGACCCTAACAAAGTTGTCCGTAGAAAAATTATGCATAATAAAAATAAACAGAAAATTAATAATTTAGCAAATAAAATTATTTAATCTAATTATTATTATATAATGATTATTGATAAAAAACAATTGCTTATGCGTCGTAGAGAAATTTATGACAACGTTGTAAATAGAATAACAGAACCGCAAAATAAAGACAAACCGAATATCAGTGATGTTATTGATAGAAAAGCAGTTTTTGAAACAAATAAACCCAAAAAGAAGAAGAAATATAAATCAACTCAACATTACTATTATGAAGGAGACAACAAGGCACATCAACCTAATTATACATATTTGAAAGACTTACAAGAACAAATAGAACGTCATAGCGCTAAAAAAGATTATGCTGTATTTCAAAATAAAAGAAGATATCAAGATGAAGCGCAGGCGTATTTTAATGAAATTCAAAGGTTGGAAGGTGAAAAGTTGAGACATCACCCATCAAGTGAAACAGGTAAATCATATTCAGAAATTATTAAGAAGAAGAAAGGAATAATCAATCAATTAAGAAAGGATTTTAATTTTGATTAAATTAATTAGATTAATTAGATTAATAAATTATAACCTAATTAATTTAATATACTAATGAGATTAGACAATGAACAGATGAAAACGCTAAAATCACAATTGAGATTAAGACCGTCTTATAATGAACTGATAAAGGAAATTACAAAGGAAGAATTTAAAAATAAGAATATAAGAGATGTAATAGACAGAAACGCTTATTATTTTCGTGATAGTCCATTGGGGACAGTTTATGATAATAATACAGTAGATTTGAGACAACACTTTAAAAAAATGTTAGATGGGAAAAATCAAACAGAACATTTTGATATATCGAGAGACGATGAAATGGATGATTTAAGAGATGAAGCAATACAATCACTAA